CGGTTCAAATTCAAACTAATTTTTGTTTAATTTTTTATCCTTATTTTAAATTTTAGATTTTTCTAAATATACTAAATATATATAGTAAAATCTAAATACATGCATAACTACTGGCTACCTAGCCACATACCGTATTCTTGTTTCGGTGTGGTCACACCATGCATAATTTCGTGAGACACACACCCCTGTTATCAGAGTTCGTTTAACCCCGTTACATCAAGCCTAACAATGAGATATCCCGGGTGCTTTATGCAATACACCGCTGTTGTTAGAGCCAAGATAATTGCCATCAGTAAGATGAAGCATGAAATATATTCGCCGAAGCTGGGCGGGAGCGATAGAATTTTCATGATACTTCACTGCGAGAGCTGCGCAAGAAGTAGCGTCTCGATGACAAGAAACAATCTATTTTAGTCAAGCTGAGAAAACAGAGTGTGTTCTCGATCCGAAATTCTACCTGTGGCGATACCAAACATTTGTACCCTGGGTCAAAGGGTCGAGCTACTTTGCATAGTGGAACGACGAACACCTCGCTAGATGACGTCACATCCAAAAAGGCACAGAACAAACTGGCTTATATCGTACCTCCTGAGTGTCAAGGTCAATATTATTTAACCCTCGGAGATTCAAATCTCTTTAAGCTGGCGAGAAGGTCTGACGGCTGTCAACATCAACACCCCAGGGTGAGGAGACCGCGAAAAATCCTGATAGATTCAAAAGCGTCATGCAATTACGTACAACACTCAACTGTGAAAAAATGCAGAGGCATTGAAGATGTCAGGTACGGATATAATATCCGTGCAAATTGCGGCGGGGCATTAGTGGCAGTGTATGAGGCCTGTTAAAGATTTTTGTACGGTATGAGGTCTCGATCGATTCTAGATCTGGATTTAAGATACGAAGAATCCTAGCATTTAATAGCTGGAGCGCCATGATCCCTGAGTTTATCAAAAGCAATCATAAACACTTGGTACCACGCTGTCATTTGTGTCGGAGCTTTGGTGAGATGCAATGACACATCTACTAGACATCACAAGCACTTCTGGCGAGATCATGATGCTGCGATGGCTTTGAAGATGTGCATGCTTCGAATTACTAAGCAATCATATCTCATCGCTATCCCAACTTAATTTGGAGGGTATAGGCAAAACGCCTGAAGACCGGTAAGAGCGTATTGGTGCGGCGCTCTTCATGGTAGAATCCTAGGAAAGAAGTGGCCGTGATTTTCGAACAGAGAGCCAACCCTTTAAGTTATTTTGGGCTGATCCATCCTTATCAAGATGTAACGAAAAAATTTAAGTTTGAACTTACGTGTGATACACCAGCTGTGGAGAGCAGTAAAACTCCACAAGCTCACGGCGAGAAATTTATTGCTCTTAAATAAAGTGCCTGCGGAACTCCTAGGAACTACACGAAATCCAACAGCAATTTAACAAGCTCCGTGCCATATTCGATACTTTCGGTACATCAATTTGACTTCCATTCCTATTTCATCTCTTTGTTTATGCTGCGGGGCTGCCGTAGCTCTTTCGCTAAGAGTAAGCTTGGTCAAGGTCGGTGACCTTCGTTGTATACTTAGAACCAGTACGAGTGTAGCAGATCGCGATCCACTTACTCCAAGAGGAATAACAGCCTTAACCCAAGGCAACTTACACTCTATCGCTTAAAGTTTAACTATATTTTCGGTTTTATTTGCGGCAAAGCCGCCTATATTTTAATCTAAGGGTCTCCTTTCTATATAGCGAAAACTCATTAAATGCATAACTACTGGCAGTCCAGCTACGTACTGACTACTTGTTAGGTGTGACCACACAATGGTATGGTCACACCATCTTGTGTAACCCACACCCTTCATACCAGGGCATGTGAAAACCCATTAAAGTTTACGCGTTTTTCTAGGTGAGCAGCACGTGCCCACCGTTTAACTGTAACCACTACTTGTAGTTATCACGTTGCAATCTAAGAATTCAACAGAAACACTTCAAAGCAGTCAGTCTTATATTCCACAAACTTACGTAATTACCTTTTTTAGATCTCTAGGCATTACACCTCGATGGGTTGGAATGTTTGATTTTCCCCATCACGTGTATCGTCATGTTCAAGCCCTACATCTTTCTTGCACTGTATTTACCTGGTAATTTGTATTTCTCACGATCCTGGAACCTTGGGTTTTCATTGATGTTCATGTATTTTATTAGAATGCCAGTTTGTGTATCGCCATCTACCACCGCTTATGTTTGTTCATCATTCCCCATCGTATGCACCGACATTAGCTATTTAGCATCTACACACCACACATCACCCGTCATTCCAGGCATTACACACTGCATTGGCTTGCACCCTTTCACTTCTAGTGATCTATACGGTATTATGCTTTGCTTTAGGTGATCTTGATGTCCAAACATAGAGCTCAATTATTTGGATCTAAAGTAAAATTTTACACTTTGTTGCTTTCTGCGCCAGAATCACTAGCGGTAAATGTAATTCTAGCTTCAAACTACACCACCATCAGTCACACGCCAAACGTTTTATACATTGCCGCCCTTTTTTGCAATTTTCTTCCTCTATTGTTATTTTTGACACTCTTCCATCAAATGCAACAGAGACTCTAAAAGTGTATGGTCCAGACTCATTACACATGTTGTGCGAGCCACATACTTGTGTGTGGACACCATTAACTATAAACCCCGTATAGTTTAATACCCCTCAAATCTGTTGTATCAGAATTTGAAGGCAATTATCAGTTTAAGTGGGGGGGTGAAGGATTATCGATCAAAATAAATATCACTCCACCATTCCTCTTCTTTCTAATCCATCAACGGCTCACAGGAAGTGAGCAACACGCGGTGGAGCTTGTCACATGATATAAGACTTCCACATTAAGTGTCTGTACTCAGACAGGCGATTCCTGCTACAATCACTTGCACAAGTAGTTGACAACCTCGATGGATTCATTTACGGATAATGTGAACACCACAGGGAGCCAGGATCATAAAATTTTCTCTCCCGAACATGCCGACGTCAGTTCCGTCACCTCCACCACAAGCGATGATAACACCATTGGTGCACATGATACGTTCCGTGTAATCAACGTGAAAAAGCTTTTACGGAAACTAAAAATAAATCTTGCATTTTTGTACCAATAAATGGGCATTGCTATCACGATGGCTCAAAATTGTGATGACCAAGTCAAGTGGCCTTCGCCATGTCGCATTTGGATTTCCATGCGTTAAGTTGGGAAATGACATGGGAGGTCAACCGCCCCGGCTACCTTGCCACATGGCAAGAGCTGAATAGGGCCATGGATTCGATGTTCCTTTCCGCCGATTTGGCTTTTCAACAACGATCAAAAATTTTTAATGCCGTCAAGACAACAGTACATTTGCGACAATTTATGTGCAGAAGCTCCATGAGCCTTGTGCCAGCATGGCAAGCGAATCACTGAAAGAGGCAGTGATGGCCACTGTGGGACTGAACAGAAATTGCCCGTCCGTGTTCACACACTTAATGAGAAAGGAGCATAGAATCTCCCTTATGAGGCGGTAACAATTACAAATTCACGGAGGATATTTTTGATGGGCGGTAAAAGTTAAAAGACCTGATATGCCAAGTTTTCACATTTGAGGACGAAGAAGGCGTTGTTTACAATGCGGATTACTCGAGATAGTAATAAAAGAAGCTTCACGTCACCGCGTGTTGCTCTCTTCCTATAAGCCGTTGATATGCTTGAAAGAAGGACACAGGTGAAGTGACGTTTATTATGGCCACCCTGGCGCGTCGCGTTACTTCGCACGGAAGCAAAGTGCTGCTGAAAATGATTCAGAGTTTTGGATGCACTAGATAGAAGCAATGGCTTTATCTCAGTGAAGCTGGCCACTGGTGCGGTGGTCACTACGATTCAATTTTTTTTTGATTTTCAACTGATTTTTGAAGACTTCAACTCGAAGAATGTATTGACAGTCCTCGAGTTGGACAATCGGTATGACCTAATTTTGGATATATCTTGGCTTTAGAAGCATGAGCTATAGATCAAATTGGCGATCGAAAACAATTAGGAGTAGCTCTCCTGGCGCTTAGGTGAATCCCTAGAAAGTAATGATGCCACATTGACTATGCATCAGAAGAAGTGCTCAAGTGCTCGGCAGTCGTATGCTGCTGATAATGATCCATACTTCACCGGTATATGACATGCAATCGACATTCTTCAGGTTAGAGAAGAAACGAAGTCGTATAAAGTGACCACTGGTAGTCACTCAGGAGATTTGATAGATTAAGTGGGTGCCCGGAACTGGCTTCTTAAAAAGAATGAATCGTCGGTGGGCATGGCGATTTGCCCAACGATAGGTGTTTATGAGGGAGATATACCGGTCGTTGTCTCACTCAAGGCAGACGAATGTTGTCGACATGTGTGTACTGGAAAGTCGAAGGAATCGACTGTGGCTGTATATGCCGATACTTTCACTTTATAAAATGGTTGAGTCGGCTTGTGGGTCAGTGCCTACAACTGACCGCAAAGGTGATGTTCCCACCCGTTGTGTGGTTGAGCACACACATTTGAAGGAATCAACGAAATTTTTGATCGAGGCACTGATACGCCTGCCCTAGTTGTGGTTAAGTCCGCGAATAAGTTAGTCTAGAGTACCACTCCCCGTGATGGAGATGTAACATGCGAATATGCTGGTCCACGTATCGTGGATGCAACAACTGCTTGTGAAGTTATCAGATCAAATGTTTTTTGACACCGTTGTCGACGATGAAAGAGATGATAGAGGTTGAGGAAGTCGCTTAGGATGACAAGTCGCGATTGAAACGACACAACACGATCGTGTCCTTCTGGGTCCTTTTACAATAGTGCACAACCGATTAAGAACTCAAAACCTTCACACACCACGCTATACGGCTTCGTATCATCTGATAACGCAAGTAAAGGTAGTTTTTTCTTAATTTGAGTGAATGCTTCCTCGCAACTGGATGATTACACCTATGGTACGTATTTTTTCGGCACGTGTGGTAGTAGGCGTACTCAGGCGACAAACGGAGGTGCTTCAAGTGCATTTCTTCGGCAGGTCTGCCATCGTCGTCCTTTAAATGAACAAAAATTTCGTCAGTATATGTTTTTGCAAATCTTCGCAGTGATCGAAACAGATGAGAGACCAATCGCTTCAAACGTTGTTGTACCACTAGATAGTTCTTGTGGCATAAAGGCGATACCGGGCGGTAGAACAAGCAGTCAAAGGGACGTCCTCTTCCCTCATTAAGATTTGGTGATATCCGTCAATCAAATCAAGTACACTAAACTGTGTACAGCCGGACATACGGTGGATGATGACATTCTTACGCAAAATCGGCGTTTAAGCGGAGTTGTATGTGTATTTAACTTGAAATAGGCGTAAGCGATACGCCATTTACTAATTTAGTAAGCGCACACAAAACGTCGGCGCGCTGTGAGTGAACTTGCTCGCCCTCACAAAACCAGCAACCTGCTTTTGAGCAAAGATTTCATCGATATACTCGCTTTGCTCACGCGACAGTGGCCATTGTCGAAGTACTGCATGCTTTGAACCAGATTCACGATGTATTTTGTGTGAATTCCACGTTTGGGTGGAAGACCAGAGGGTGATTTTACACTAAGGACGTCATCCTTGTATTCTATAACAAGTGAATAAGGATCAGTTGGATCCTTCAAAGTAGCAGATCCTCTGCGTGTTTCTACACGCTATCAAAATACTTCGAGAACTGAATCATCCATAACTGATGATAAGCATAGCTCCGCTAAATCAACCTTCGACTGTAGCAACACGACCTCCGCAATACCGTCACGCTTGAGGCGTGTGGAATCGTGAAGAACACGCCCGATATGTCGTACAAGAATGCCATCGGATGAGAATTTCCGTCAAAGTACGAAAGGAAAATAGCATGCGGATGAGCTGTACGAACTTCAGTGTAGTGAAAGTATGATCGAAGGCGACGACGGAGGTCTAAACAAAAGGCAGCACGTGAGTACGGTTTGCACGTCATTGATAGTAAGAATAAAAAAGTCTATCTCACGTTTGCCAACTTCGATGTAAATACCGCCTGATAAAAAAAAGAGGTAGTAGCCTGGTGACAGTCCCTGTTGTGATGAAACTGATCGTAAGCTTTTCACTAAATTGTTTGACATTAAACGACACACAACTTACATGCCATAAAGCGCTGACAAAGAACGATGCCATTGTCGACAGCAGACCAGACCGACCAGCTTTTGACAGGCCGACACGCTGATAAA